CTCTCTCTCTCTCTCTCTCTCTCTCTCTCTCTCTCTCTCTCTCTCTGATGGGATAGATAAGTAGATTGACAAATGGATAGATAGATAATAGATTAGATAATACACTTACATCTGTGTGTGTGTGTGTGAGAGAGAGAGACAGTGAGAGACAGAGAGACAGAGAGTGATAGAGAGAGGGAGTGTGTAACTAAAAATAAATGCAACCTTATGATATATCTTTTCTTCTATGACTTGGTCTTTGGGTCAACATTGTTTCCAAGGGTTAGTTATGTTGATGCAGAGATTGTAAGGGATGTGATAGCTCAGCCGTGGAATTTGTAGCTAGGTAAAGGTCAGAGTTTTGCCTTTAGCCCCCAGCATGAGAGAGAGAGAGAGAAAAAGAGAGAATGAGAGAGAAGGGGGGAGGGCAGACACAGACAGACAGACAGACAGACAGACAGACAGACAGACAGAGACAAAGAAAGAGAGAGAGAAAGAGAGAGAAAGAGAGAGAGAGAGAGAGATTGATTTTGATTGACTGATGATTGTGTTGTGGTTAATGTTCACAGCAGCATTCTAGTGATGAACTCCTGACAGTCTATTGACTATGAAGTTACAGTGTTAAGCAACTGGCAAGTATTCAGGCTCTGAGATAGGATGTCAAGAAGGTACAATGACTCTCAAATTTCTCCCTCTCAGGCATAAAATACTGTCAGCAGAGATGTAAGGCTTAACCTGAAGATGGAGACAAGATTTAGTAGCCAAATGTAGCAGCACATCCGTTATCTTGTACTGGAGAGGGAGACAGCAGAGAGCTTGGTGGCCGCCTGAGCTACATAGTGATACCCTGTCGAGGAAAAGAGGGAAAGGGATAGGGGAGGGGAGGGAATGGAACACTTTAGGTAGACATCAGGAGTAGATGAATTAGAAGCTGGAAAGACAGGAAGGAAGGAGTTTTCAGAGGAAAGATGAGACCTAAAATGTGAGGAGGAAGAAGGGATAGATCAAGATACCCCGGAATGTGAGAAAGATAGAGCCTGCACCCTGCCCAACCTGTGCAGATTTGAGGAAATTACAGCGTTTGCTCTTTTTTTTCCTCATTCACTTCCTCATCACACAAAAACCATAACCCTCCAGTGAAGGGACCCATGTAAGTACCTCCCCTCCAAAGCCCAGGGCCCAGAACAGCAGATCAAGTCGGAAGTGCTGGTTGGTCCTTTGCTTGATGCTAGGGAGAGCCAGATCTCCTAAGGTGCTCATTTGGGAGTTTCCCATTGATGTGTTCTCTGCTGTTGCCTATCCCTGCTGCCAATGGGGCTGTTCTGCTATCACGCCTTCATCCAACCGTATGGCCTGTGAACCTCTAATAACCTTCTGACTACTTTCCATGACTCTGAATTCCCCACCCACAGCCTCATTTGCAGTGAGAGGAAACATGAAGAGGAAGCGAGACTGTGGGTGGCTCTGTGTGGCCCTGGGAAGCAGAGTGGTAAGCCAGAGTCTGGGGTCACAACGAGGGATACAGCTTCAGCAAGTCATAGTTATGGACTGACCAGAAGCTGTGGCTCACTGCTGCTGCCCGGCATCATGAGAGCGGATCCAAACACATGGAGACAGGTGTAGCATCCACACTCCGAACCCCAAGGGTGGTTCCTACTGAGTGTGTATCACCTTTAGACCATCAGGAAAGTCTTAATTTGAGCCTTTGTAAATTGAAGACCATCTTATATATATGCAGTGTGGGCATGGGGAGAGAGGGGTTTGCTTTAGTGTAGGGCTCAAGCCAGTAGGATGCTGCATTTCAAGTCCTAGGTCCTCATGCTTAAGAAAGAAAAACAACTGACTGGATGAGCCCCTCCAACACCCCTATATTATGGATAGCCATCTTAACATATTCACAATCTAATGATTTAAAGGAAAAGCTTACAAGTATCTCCAGAGTAATTGTTATCAATGGAGCTTTGGCCTACCCAAGTTAATGTATAAGATGATCGGTCTCAGATACTAACCTGCTTTTCAGAAACTTGGTAATTATTTTCACAATTGTTGAGGGCCTAGTATGATTCAAGTAATGTTCTACGTCCTGGGAATTCATCATGATGTTGGCAGATAAGCCCCATCCCTCAAGCAGATCATATATGGAGGCAGAATAGAAAGTCCAAGAAAAAGTAATTGAAGTATTTATGGTAAATTTCATACCTCCAGCAGTACTGTGAGTTCAGCTAATATCAATCAAATTTAAAATTTCCCTGTCAAAACAGATTGGAATATATTAAGAAAAGAAGCAAAGATTTTTTTTTAACCTTATAGACTTTATTATCTATCAAGGACAACAGATCTAAGGGACATGATGATGGGAAACACTTTCTAACATCTAAATACAGCATGGTGACCACTACATAGCTTTCAGTGGTACTGGAACACATAACTCAGCTGCCAGGGACCATGGGAGTGAACAAATTACGTGCACTTGTATTCAAATTAAAATGGCAGAGTCATCTGTGCACACTTATTTCATGGTCTTCATGTCTCTCTTTTTTTTTTGGACACAGAGATTTCCCCCAATTGGCATAGTAAGCTCATTTGGAAAGGACAGCAAGATCTAGGGATAGACCCCACTGGTGGGTAGGTAGGACAGTATACAGGTAACCTTGGACTTGCAGTGATCCTCCTGCCTTGGCCTCACTAGTGATGAAATTATGATTGTGTGTCAGCACACCTGGTCGGCAACCTCTTCTTAATCTTCTCAGATGGCAAATAGCCTGCTGTGGTGGAGTGTGTCTACAGTCTCATCCCTGGGGAGGCGGAGACAGGAGGGCCTCAGCTGG